ATTCATGAATCTAACTTATCTCTTCGGAATACATAAAAATCAATGAAGATATATACAAAACACACACAAGATGTCCTTGAACGAAAGATTAAACCTAAACAAAATGTTTCAAAACATTCTGCAACTAACTTTTACAAAATTTAGCATCCAGAATACTTCTAACAGATATTTGAATATTATCTGTTATTTCATTACACATGACACGTATCTAACCAATAAGAAATGACCAAACGCAGCACACCATTAATCTATGTTTCTTTTGTTTTTATCATTATTATTTCATTATTTCTATCTTGATCTCTGATGAAGCTTTAATGAAGTGAAACATTTTAGATTAAGATCTGTTTCCTACTTGTTCTTTATCCTATCATTTTGTCGGGTTCCTATTCATAGTCTCTCTCTCTCTCTCTCTCTCACACACACACTTTATATATATAATGTGCGTGTGTCTGTGTATGACGGGCTACTACTTGTTTCCAAGCACACCTGTCTGCCAGGATAGCTAACCAACCCCTATTACAGACACCTGCTCAACCCCAGACTTTACCTTTGTTTCATACTGCAGCTATGCTGGGCGGACCTTAGTTAAACTTTATAGGAGAGAGTTAATTATATTTTTATATTATTTTTATTAAAAGAGGAAATATCTTAGACGAAAAGTTCTTGATAGTGCCGCTATCGAATCTTGTCAAAATGTAAATTTGAGCCCCGTATTTCAAATATATCCTTTCCTAAGGCAACACAAATTTAAAAGAAAACAGTTAAATTAAAACCTTCTGTAATCTAAAATAAATACATAATTTAATATCTCAAACTAATATTAAATAATAATTACATTAAAAAAAATCAGCAATAACTTTTACTCCCTTTCTTTTATAAGACTTTGAATTATATCACTTGGCATCCTCCATAGTTTACCTTGACTTTCACAGTTAGCTTGAAGAATATTTACGAGTGTTCGTAAATTTAAAAATTTTGAAAACCTAACAATATTTTTTTTTTTTTATAAGTACTTGTTCCAAAATAAATCCTTACAATTACATTGATAAAGTCCATCAGAGGACGAAACGCGTCGGTAAAGAATAGTTTCCTTTTGTTTTATTTTATATATATATATATATATATATATATATATATATATATATATATAATGCACTTTTGATCTGTGTCTCCTTCAAATACGTTTTTAGTATTCGACATTATCAGATAACCATTTTCTGATTGTACTTCAATGTATTGCTAAAGTCGATGTAATACGAAAATGTCAGATCTTTAACTAGCTTTTTGTTTTCTTTAGATTCTCTAAATAAATATGTCCTTGGCCGTAGCATCCAGCTGATAATTTAATGAATGATATCTTTAAAACAACCTTTAGGACATAAACATTGTTCTGTGGTTTTGGGGGTTTTTTTTTTGGGTTTTTTTTGGTTTTTTTCATCTTTATAATTTCATAGATATTTTTTATAGAAGACTGGTCGATTTTTAGGATAGGTTCGAAATTGGAATTCTGGCAAAATAGATTTTCATTCGACCAGAATTAAAGAAGAGGACAAGAATGCAGAAAATAGACCTCCCCCCATCCCATTAATACTTCCTAAGCACTGATAATTCTTCTCTTCCTTATTTCTATATTAGAACCCCCCCCCATATCATTAATACTTCCTAAGCACCGATAATTCTTCTCTTCCTCATTTCTATATTAGAATTTATCAACATTTACATTCGGACTATTGTCTTCATCTTTGCTATCACATCGTTCCGGTCGTTGTGCCCTCCGACCCTCATCAGGTGTATGTCGATCCGGATAAACTACAGGGAATTCCAAGCTGAACCCTTTATTTCATTTCCGGGGGTAGGATGTTCTCGTTCAACTGCCCATGTCTAGGGATATCTCGTCTATTTTTTATTTTTAGTACTGCTCACTTATTGCTCGCACAATTTCTACTGAGTTCAAGTACACACTGCCCGGTTCAGGAATTGAACTCACAATTATTACGACACCAAATTTTGGAATCAATGCTTTAGGACAATAGCTTAGCGAGTTATACATTACTGGATTTACAAAGAGAGGATTTTAAAAGAATTTGGAATCCACGAAGCTTTAATATTGACATATATAACGTTAAGAATAAACACTGAGCAAATGATAATGTGTTGATAACAGATTCAAAAGGAAAAGGCAAGGTAGCTGAGAAAAGCTAGGAGTCAAAATTACTGTTTGTTAAATATATTTATCTTCTGTTCTGGTTTTCTTGGACGAAATCAAAATGATTTTGAAAGTTCAGTATCGATAGATACTAAAATCACCATCTCAATTCTTATAAAATAGATTTTGTTTTCATACGTTTAGGGGAAAATTGTCTGTCAATTCAGTTATTTTTTCTCTTTAAAGATTGTTTTGTTTGATGATGCTAATAGTTAAATTTATTAGTCTATAAAAAGTTCAATATGGCCAATGTATTTGATCATGAATAGTTCAGAATCTGTATTGAAAACCAACATCTTCTATGTGAACAAACTATATATTGAATACACAAAACTAGAAAAAGGACAACAACAAGGATGTCTTACTGGATTGATTTAATCTGTACAAGGAGATGATTCCAAAAGAATTAGGAAACCCACGAGGCTTTATTATTGGCATATATAACCTTAAAAATAAACACTGAGAAAATGATACTCTGTTGATGACAGAATCAAAAGGAAGACTGTAAGAATTATTAGCCAAGGTAGTTAAGAAAAACTGGAAGGGCTGACTATTAATTGTAAAATAAAATGCTTTGTGGTGAGCAAAAAGGGTAGCGCAAAATGTGAGTTACAAACTAAAGATCTTAAAATTAAACAATTACCTACATTCAATTATCTGAGTCGTGTAATAATGAAGGATGGAAAATCATATTTAAAAGCACAATTAAATTATTTTCAGAAATTAAGGTACTAAAAGAATCAAAAAATAACATTAAAAATGAACAAATGTACTGAGCTGCTTTATCATGTCTTCTCACATAAATAGCAGTTAAAACAGGGCAATCTCTTCATGAAAAAACTTAAGACAGCCAAAATGTGGCTTTTTCACTGAATGTTAAGAATGCCATGGGCAAAATATGCAACAAATGAGCAGGTTCACAAGAGAATGGAAACTGCAAAGAAACTGTTTATATCGATCAGAAAGAGATTTGTAATTTTAGAGTCACATAGTAAAGACATAAGGCCTGAAGTATTTAACAAACAGGACAATATCAAGATTATTTTCAAAAGGTCAGTATCGATAGATACTAAAATCCACATCTCAATTAATTTTTATAAAATAGATTTTTTCGTACTCTAAAAAATGTCTGCCAATTCAGTTTATTTTTCTTTATAGATTGTTTTTTTGACGATGCTAATATTTAAATGTATTAGTCTATAAAAAGTTCAATATGGCCAGTGTATTTGATCATAAATAGTTCAGAATCTGTATTGGCAATCAACATCTTCTGTGACTCGACTGTATATTGACGACACAAAACTAGAAAAAGGATTACAACAAGGATTCAAAATGCAAACTGAAAGAACCATGAGAGATAATTGTCGAAAAAAAAAACAAGAAAGGATTATATATCAATTTTAAGAAAAACTCTGAGCCAAGAGAACATCAAAAGGTTTTGGCTGCTTTTTCATCTTAACTGGGTCAGCTTCCCCCATGTCCGTATTTATTTTATCCTTCTCTCTTCCTTAGCGAGAGAGCCTCTTGATTTTGTCTGAAGACAGAATACAGTGGCCTCTCATTTCTTTTGAGGGTTGGACGGGTCCTGCTAACATCAATTATTTTTAGTTTGTGTGTTTTGTTATATTTTAGTTTGGTTTCGAGTTCATTCCTTGCCCCCCCCACCTCATTGCTTATCATCAATAAATTTTTATATATAATTTTATACTCAATATTTTGTCATGGGATGTTTTGTAGGTTCCCTGTGTGTATGCGGTATTGTGGTATATGTAGGATGGAATGATGATGGAAAAGGCCTTGTGGTGGATGTATAAATTGTAACGAATGAATGTGTCGTAAATCGGATTAGCTAAGTATAAGATAGTTAGTATCGACCAGCCTCAACCCATTACCCCTTTTCGGCCTTGTGTCACAATTGCTGTATTATATATATTTATAATATATATATATATATATATATATATATATATATATATATATATCTTTTTCATGTTGAATTGTATATGGTCTATGTTAATTATGTTTTATGAATATGTTCTGAAGATGGTCTATTAGACCGAAACGTCCGACGTTGACATTAAACATTAAAACAGCATAATCGCATATTAGGATTTTTGTTTGTTTTTTCAGTATATTTTTCTTCATACTGTCGTATCTATATCCATATATTTGCTTACACATATATATATATATATATATATATATATATATATATATATATATATATATATATATATATATGTGTGTATATATATATATATATATATATATATTGGCGGATTCGCCAGACTGCAATAGGTGTGACCTTAGTTTAGTGGAAACGGTTGCGTAGGCCTTCTACCACTGGACTAGGGTGTGCCCCCCAATTAGACTTTGTCGGCGAGTTGACGGGTTGGAAGGGACCTACTAACATCAATTATTTTTAGTTTGTGTGTTTTGTTATATTTTAGTCTGGTTCCGAATTCATTCCTTGCCACCACCCCCCCATTGCTTATCATCAATAATTTTTTTATATATAATTTTATACTCAATATTTTGTCATGGGGTGTTTTTTAGGTACTCTGTGTGTGTGTGAGGTATTGTGGTATATGTAGAACTGAATGATGATGAACGCGGTCTTGTGGTGGATGTATAAATTGTAACGAATGAATGGGTCGTGAATCGGATTAGCTAAGTGTAAGATAGTGTCGACCAGCCTCAACCCATTACCCCTTTGAGCCACAATTGCTGTATTGTATACACAATAAACCTCGAGAACATTAAAAGGCACTTTATTAAAGGCACATACAAACATCCATATCACGTTGAAACACCGGTTCTCGTCCGTCCACTGAAGTTAAGCAACTTTGAGCCTGGTCAATACCAAGATGAGTGGCCGCTTAGGAATATCATCCAGATTGTATTCGCGAGTAGTGTGGTAAATAATAGCTAGGAATGAGAAATTGGGGAACAGTTTGATTTCCAGTCGAGTTCTTTACACTGACTTACGCGCAAAGAGCGTTGGAAAAGGTATGAATTCATCGCTTCTCCAACCCCCGAACTATGGATTAAATAGCAGACACCTGTATCTTTGGTTGGCAACCAGTTTGCCACAGAACGTAACAGCCTACTGCGAGAATTCGAGGCAATCATGAACCGAGATGTGATCGCCCATGCGTATATCACGCATGGCACTTGAGGAAGGAAGGGAAACGCTTTTCAGAAATTACTAAAGGAAGGCCGGAGGGCACAACGGCTGAAACGTTGTTGTGACAACAACAAAGACGGAGACACTAGTCCAAATATAAATAGTGTGAATAAAATTACTAAAGGATTGAAAAATAACATTAGAAACTAAGAATGTGGACTGTTATGTAATATTAACTCCTGTACGATAGTGAATGGGGATTTTCTAAGCGTAGCTTAGATATGAAACAGGGCCGAAAGTATTGGGAACCTAGTGAGGATCGATCTCACTACTCAGTTGTAATTGATTTTGTGAGACACGTGTACTAGCCATTACACCACGTCGTAGTGCCCATGTGCGATAATAAATGGTGAGCAATTTGATTGCAAAATAAAGAAAAGACCTGAAGCGATCGAGATGCGGTTTTACCGACGAATATTGAAAATAACACGAATAGAGTATGTGACAAATAAGCAAAGTCTAGCAACAATCACGAAAAACATTCTAACAGTCAGAAAGAGTTGAATTCTTCGGACCTCTAAGGAAAAAGAAAGGCTTGGATAATTTAATTCACCCAATGCACGTTAAAGGCAAGAGAAATAAATTTAAAAAAAAACAGCGGGTAACTTACGAGTTTAAGTAAATGGAAAGGAAAACAATTACCCCCAAAACAAAGTGAAAAAGTAAAACTGCCAGTATTACAGAAAGCAACAAAAATAGGAAGCTGTGGAGGATCATGATCGCTCACAAAGACAATATTATGAAAACATAATAATAGATTAAACTCTTCACATTAATCAGGTGTTCGGCCAGACAAGACTGTTAACTTCACACTACGATGACTGTTGGGCTATTTTCTAAGCGTGGCTAAATCTGTTTTTTTTTTTTGTTTTGTTTTTTGTTTTTTAATACGTCCCTTCAGGTCGTAGACGATCATGGTTCCCCGCAGATTTCTTTATTATCTGTAAATTACCATGTCCCTTCAGGACGTGGGCGATTATGGCTCTCCACATAATTCTTTTCTTTATTATATGTGAATTGCCATGGCTCTTTAGGACATGGGGAATCATGGCTCTCCACAGATTTTTCATATTATCCGTGAACTGCCATTTCTCTTCAGGTCGTAGGCGATCCTTGCTCTCCACAGATTTCTTTTCTGTATTATCTGTGATTTATCTTACATTCTTGGCAAGTATAATGGAGTAGTTTTCCGTTGCCTTGTCCATAGTTTGTATTTCAGAGTTTTCCTTTTCTTAGATTGGTTTCTATACCTATTTGCCCTTCTATTTAATTCATGGCTATAGGAAGAAAAGATAGATTCATGCTTTTCCAAAGTGCATCTCTGTGAAAGTGAACGCAAAAAATGAATCCAAAACTTGAACTCTACTCGACGATCCCACTTAACGCGCCAGTAACGATTAAATTACCGCTATCTAAAAATGGTATATAAACGATGTATTCAGTAAGGATCGAACTCACTACATTAAATTACTCCGGCACAAACTAAATTCAGGTAGAGAAGACTGCACCAAACTTTCAAATGAAGAAACATTATCTAGTATCCGTCTATATTTCATGACACAGTGGATAAAGACGTTAGTTAGATCCAGTGACAGAACCCAAAGAGTGTGAAATCAATACCTGGTTAAGGCAGTGGATAACTTGAAGACGGGAATTAGCAGAAGATGATTGACACCTGACATCAGTTAAACATGGCATGTGGAACTAGAACAGTCTACTCCAGTGAGCGAAATAAAGGGTTCAGTTCGACGTTCCAACCACCTGAAAAAGGCTGGAGCATACAACGGCCGAAACGTTGTAATAAATATAGCGACAAAGATGAGGACAATATTCCGAATAATGTAAATAGTGTAAAAAATTATCTACCTTGAAAATCAGCATCATCGGTATTTTGGTTTGAAACCCATGGGCATGGAATTCCGAATGTGATGTATTACCTTTGCTTACGCTTTGATATAACACCAAAAAGGCGCGAAGACACTAAGACGGTTACCAGGAATTAGAATGGTCAAGATATTTCGCCGCACCCAGATTCCTTAGTGGGGAAGCCAGCACGCGTTGATAAGAGTTTGGCCAAACGATTGACATGAGTCCGTTTGATCATCTCCCTCAAGCTTCCTCCTGGAAACGGTGCTACTACTAATGTCCCTTATAAATCGAGATAAATGCAGTCTATCATGCAGCGTTGGGAGTCTGAAGAACTGAGACGACACGAAACGCAAAACAAAATGGCCTCTGGTAACGGTGGTGAAATGCGTATCTATACAAGCCGCAACTTTTCAAGCGTACTAGGTGATATCGGACGGTGCGTGCTGTTATAGTCCCGTTTCTACAGAAATGCGCGCAAAAACTGACGCTCATTAGTACCCTGAATTACTGTATCCGTCTATAGATCGGTTTCGTCTTGTCTATTAATGTTTATTTATTTTGTTGTGTTAGAATGGCTCTGCAATCTTTTCACTGGTTAACATATCCGAATGCTAGATGAAGTTTAGTAAGTCTGATACAGACACCCTCTGTATGATCCGCTGGACTTTTGGCAATCTTTAAGTAAAGCACAGCTTTCTGAATGGTGTATGCATTTCAAGGTCGATTGTCCGTCGGATAAAGATGAAGAGCGTGTATGGCAACCAATCACTAGCAAAACGCCAGAAAAGGTTAGAAAATTAAGTGAACTCAGCTGTGAGGACCGTTTATGTAATATTCTATGTTTTCATACAAGATTGGAATCACTTATAGAGATTGCTGAGAGATTCTAGTCCCAGAATGTTCCGATACTACTTTGCATATAAATTATATTTTATAAATTCTGTCGCTCGTTAACCTAAACAATGCAAAAATGATGAAAAGATCAAGTCACATTTCGCCACATTTAATGACTAAAACAGACAGTATTTTTTTTTTAATTTCTATCTGTCTTTTATAATTACAGTACGTCAATTTGGATTCTGGATTTATTGTTGGAATTTATCCAAAATTTATAATTTATTTGACTTATTTTGGTGGCACAAGTATAAATCCATATAGTCGCCATCATTTTCTATGGATTTTTTAAACGCTTTTCATTTTTTTTTCTTTTTACTTTTGTTCACCCAATTTAACGCCCGAGTGTAACTCAAGATAGAGAGTTACTGAATGTAGTTCTTGTATGTAGATATCAGTTGACCCTAGACATGAACACTTTAAGATGGTAGTGATCGGGAAAGTGTTCTCTCTGGAGTCTGTTCCACAAAGCAGCGGTTATTTGAAAGAGGTTGGCTAAATGGAACTTCCTCTCTACCAATGGAAAACGAAAGGAATTATAATTCGACTTTGCATTCGTGGCATGGTAAAGCTTAACGGTAAAGGTCTGCACTGGTGGAACTAATGAATATAGCTCGTCAGAACGTTTTCTGTGGAAATAGCTATAGAATACCAACGCAGCGTTTCGTCTGTGGGGAAGGAGTTGTAGGGTGGTAAATAATTCATCACCCACAAGGCTATGTTAACGCTTCTAAATTCTGTCAAGGTTGAAAATGAGAACTGGGTAGCCCCAGTACAGATATGGCAGCAATACTCCATTTGACTCTCGTCATGGCCTGTCACCGCCCAGAACGTGATTTGCCACGACTATTCCTGTCTCTACTGATGAAACACATTACCGACAACTTAACTATGCTCACGTCCAATGTTTGGTCTACATAAACGTTCATCCAGCGTTGATAAATACCAGTGGATGAAATTTTTTCTGCTTCGTACGTAATTTCATATCGGGTCCCCATTTCGATAGAATTATTTGAATCAAAACAATTTCTTTTCCAAAATTACTGAAACATTTGAAATCTATCTAATAGCATATACCGCTAGTTTTTAGTGTCATTCTCGTGGAGGGTATATGTACAGCCTCAGTGCGCTATAGTTACGGCTGCATCATACAATTTTACCGCTAACAAGACATATTTTAAATTCTGTGATCATTCTCCTGGCTGGTTGCCAATTTACATGTATATAAACGGATTCCTATATTTCTCAATGTGTGAAAATGGGTGCAACGTCTTCGACCGGAATTTGAACTCAGCATCAGTCAGTCAAGTGCTATACTTGATACACGCTTGGGCGATCATGTCTCTTTCGATCCATGATGACTTTCTTGGCGTAGCTTAGATCTGGGACAAGGCCGGAAGTAGGGGGGCTCCCAGTGAGAATCGGACTCACTACTCAGTCGTAATTGTTCTAGCAAGACAAGCTTGATACCCATTACACTATGTCGAGGTGTCCCCCTTTTGATTCACGACTGACTAGGCAGATTTTCGTGCGGTAAGTTGCGCGGGAAACTAGTTGCCAACCAAGTATGACTTGCTATTTAACCCATAGATATGGAGTGGGGAGAAGAGATCCTTCATATTTTCCCAAGGGTATTTGACTGGATTCGAACTCGACCGAAAACCAGTATGCTATAGCATAAAATACGATTTACCTGAAATATGGTTGGTGAAAATGATTTTTTTTTATGATTTTATATAAACAAAAGGTTTTGTCAAAATTTCAAAAACCATTTGTATTTTTATAAGAGTTATCAGTGGTAATGTTTAATCTCTACTGATCAGACTACCATACATCAGCCTCCGACGTCGTAATGTTAAAGTCCCTAGTCCCCAAACTTATTCGGGTCGTAAGGGCATTACAGGTACGTTGGCCGTAACAGCAGTGGTGTGTCTAGGAC